GAAACACAGGCTCGCCGCCGCCGCTCGCGCGGCCAAGGGCGGTGTTTTTCGACGTGGGCGGGGTCCTCTCCCAGTCTCCGTTGCTGGCGATCCTGAGGTTCGAGAAGGAGGCGCTCCTGCCGCCGTCGTACGTGGGCGTCGCGATCGCCGCCGCCGGCCAGGACGGCCTCTTCCAGAGGCTGGAGAGAGGTGAGGAGCGGCTGGGGGACCGGTTCTTGAAACGGTTCGAGGAATACCTGGTGAGCGACGAGGCGAAGCGCGCGTACGTGGGCTGGTGCGTCGCGCGGCGGCGGAGGCGGCCGACGATCGGCAAGGACAACACGCCGTCGTCGTCGACAGCCCCAGCGGGCGGAAGGGGGGGACAACCTTGTGCAAGCTCTGCGCCCCGGGCGGCGACTAACATCGTCACTCCGAGAGAGCGCGGAGGAGGAGGAGGAGGACATGCTGAGCAGGGAGCGAAGGAGGAGGCGGGCGCAGCGGCAGCGAGCGTCTTGGCTGTGGACGTGCGGGAGCTCTTCCGGCGCATCACGGCAGCAGCGAGAGTTCCGGTCCCCGAGATGATCGATGCGGCGCAATCGCTGCGACGGCAAGGCTTTCTTGTGGGCGCGGTGTCCAACGACTTCTTGGTCGAGCGGGGGTTCGATCTCGGACGACCACGGCGGCGTGACGACAAGCCGGGGGTGCACGCAGCCGAAGCTGCAGTAGCGGCGACGGTGAAGGCCGAGGCCGGCGGCGGCGTGTACTCTCGCCTCCCCGACCTGTGCGACGTGGTGGTGCTCTCGAGCGCGACCGGCTCGCGCAAGCCCTCCCGAAAGATCTACGACGACGCCTGCCGAGCGCTCGGGGTTTCCGCCCCGGAGGCGGTGTTCGTGGATGACATCCGCGAGAACATTATCACCGCCGAAGCTCTGGGCATGAGGACGGTGTGGGTGGCCTCCGGGGGATCGATCGCCGCCGCCCTCTCGGAGTTGGAGGCGGTCACGGGGGTGAAGTTGGTTGCTGACGGGGGTGTTCGTCGACCCCCCGGCAAGCTTTGACTTGCTTGCTGCCACTGTTATGCTCTGTGTCTTGATCTTATCGCACCTGGGCGATGATACATAACCCCTCGTTGGAAGGGAAGAAATGGTGGGAGTTGTTCCGTTGCAGAAGGAATTAATTCGTTTTTGTTGACGCCATTTGTTTCCTAGCCCTGGTTATTCACCTCTTGGTTGTTCACCTCTTGTGGTTATTCACCTCGTGTGGTTATTCACCTCTTGTCCATCGCAGTTTTCGCAGTCACCACCTGGTCGAGGAGACGACCCTTGGGCTGAACTCAACTTGCTGCTGTGTCACTTCTTGCTCTTCGGTTGATTTATCCTTGAAGAGACTGGTCGTTGGGTTGGCGCGTGTGTTGCCCTCAACGCGAACATGCCGCACAAGAAAATCCGAACCACCTGCGAATGAGAGAATGCGAGCAAGTGCAACCCTGACGCAGGAGGAAGGGGGACGAGAATAACCATTTTTTTTTTTGTGTGTACCCCTATGCGGTACCGACCTCCGCACAAAAGATCCGGCCGCAGGTCCGCGATCACACTCGTAAGAAACCACACAGCAGCAGTACAGTGCCGGCATTCGTCAGGGCGAATACGGGTGCTTTGAAAAAAAAAATAACCTTCATCGACAAATTGAGCGGAATCAAAATATTCGTGAGAAAGCTCTCATCAGCAGCGATCGAATAAGCCCATTCACAGCGCTGGGTTCAGGCTTTCAAGAAAGATATGCCCCCATTAACATCATAGCAGAAGGCACTTCATCCCACAAGAATCGCCATACCTCAACAACTACGGCAAACCCCGCGAAAAAAAAATGCAGATTCGGAAAGCTCACTTCAGAACTATTTTACTGCGGCGAAATCATCCCCGAGCTCGTTGATGAACTTAAAAAAAATCAGAACCAACATTTCAGTCATTGTCGCCCACATCAGCCCCAACGGCTGCCACACATAAAGAGGTCGCGGTCCACGCCCATGGCTCTTAAGTTGCGCGACAAGTCCCTGGCGACCATACTGGCAACCTTGGCTCATCGTGGTGGTAAGCTGGTGAGTGTGCATCAGCACAAGGCTCCGAAGAAGTATAGTATGCAACTGATGGCCCAAGTGCATGGATCCAGACAGCGCTGATGCAGCCCACACATCGAGTTTGCAGAAGGCAAAACCACGGGTCGCGACTGGGCCGCCGAGGACCGGTGGGCTGCTACCTGGCGGCCATCCTTCTGCAGCGGCAACGTGCCCCACAACGATGCAAGTGCAGGTTAAGCCAAAGCTTCGCCTCCCCGAGAAACGCGGCCGCGGGATTGTCAACATGCTGCGGAATCCACCGGATGCACCGCCTGGAAAGCGCGGCGGAGCACGCCCTGGAGCAGTCAGACAAAAGGGAAGCTACGGCAGGAAGAAGCTTCGCCAAGCTGCGCAACAGCTCAATAGTTATCTCGAGCGAGGGCAGCTCCAGTGTGCGCAGATGGTCTCGCGCGATATTCCTGGAGCGATGTCGGATGCAGTGAAGGAGGCGCACTAGCAAGAGTGGTCTATCTTCCAGCGTTCCTCAAGCGCCAGAGCAACAGGGGTGTGGGCAGGAAGGAGGCTCTTCGCAAGCTGGCGAAGCATCGATCGCAGCTGGAAAAGGCGGCCGCAGCATCTGCTGCATGTAGATCGGGCTGGGAGAGGGGGCAGGATTATTTCCGCGCCGTCATCAAGGAATGCTAATCCGCTGTAGCAGTCACATCTGCTGGACTCGATGTAAGAGATGTTGGGCTACACGATGCAGTGTAAATGTATGCATGCATTGATCGCAGTTTTCGTGCTGCAAGCACTGCTGTTGGTTGTAGTACTGTGTGGTTGTCGCTATGCTGCTCCTGCTGCTGCCGTATGCATGATGTGATGCCGCCCCATGTACATGTCTGGGTGAAGTTGCGCGCGACTGTTGGGCCGCAAGAACCACTCCGCCCCCACCCTTGTCTTTCATCCCCGCTGCTTGTCCCGATGATCTTCCATTGATTTTGCCCCNGCTGCCGTATGTATTTGATGTGGTGCCGCCCATGTACATGTCTGGGTGAAGTTGCGCGCGACTGTTGGGCCGCAAGAACCACTCCGCCCCCACCCTTGTCTTTCATCCCCGCTGCTTGTCCCGATGATCTTCCATTGATTTTGCCCCCTTTCCTACCTTACGTACGTACAGGAGTCTGTCCTCGTCTCTCATGCGCAAGCCGGCAGCCTGCAGTTCAAGGCCTTGGCTCTGAAAGGACTGTACCACAAGCTGCTCAGGGGGGTGTCCAAGAGGCAAGCTTTCGAGGAAACGGCGGAGTTTTTGAAGTGGCATCCAGCACCCTCCGTGAGTGGGAGCTTTCCTACCGCACCAAGGGCCATATCCAGGTGAGAGGAGATATGTACCAGACATCCGTTTCAACCACAATGAAAGATGTGCGTGCCGTAGACTCTGTATGTGGCGATGAACATAAAAAAAGTACTGCTGTAGCTCAACAAGCTCGCCGGCCGTTGCTGTGAGCATGCTCCCTCCGTGCAACGCATGCGCTATTGCTCCCTTTCCATCCCGCACCCGTGCATGCTTTTGAGCCACCCTTTCCCTTTTTCTCGACAATGCGGTGTTCTTTGTCGCGTGCACCCTTGCTGTATTTAAAGGTGGACCAGAGGGAGAAACACGAACGGCGGTGGATCCTGAGCTTGGACGAGGGTCTTCTCGTGATGNTCCCTTTTTCTCGACATTGCGGTGTTCTTTGTCGCGTGCACCCTTGCTGTATTTGAAGGTGGACCAGAGGGGGAAACACGAACGGCGGTGGATCCTGAGCTTGGACGAGGGTCTTCTCGTGATGGTACGCCAATGGATCCGCGTCAACTCTATCAAAAATGGGGAGCCCAACATGACAGCCGAGGGCTTCCGCGAGTACCTCAACAAGGACGTCTTGCCACAGGTAGCAGACACCAAAACGTGCGACCACGACCCCTTCAAGCACGTTCCTGTCACCAAGACGACGACTGAAACGGCATCAGGAGAGATAGTGGTGTCGTACTCGGTGACCGTTCGCACGGCGCGCTCCTGGCTGCACAAGCTGGGGTGCGAGTACCGCGATCGCACGTCGGGCCTGTACGTTGACGGCCATGACCGCAAAGACGTGCNGTATGCCGGTGGTGTTGGGTACGCAGGAGGACTTCGCGAGCGTAGAGCCTAGCCTAGTGGTGTTAGTGAAGCGCCATGGAGGAGTGGCAATCATGCTCCCCAAGTTCCACTGCGAGATCAACCCGATAGAGCTAGTGTGGGGTAGATCCAAGTATTGGGTCCGGCAGCACTGCAAGTACACTATCGCGTGCTTGCGGAGCAATGTTTCTAAGAGCTACGCGGTGGCCGGAGACCGCTTGAGTCTAGCAATTGTGTAAAAGTTCTGCAGGACGGTGGCCAACTTCAACGAGGTGTACCGCGACGGACTCCAGGGCGCGGAAGCAGTACATAAGAGGGACACCTTTAAGTCTCACCGCAAGCCGGCTCCGTCAGAGTACATTAACCGTAAGTGATGTACACGTTTATTCTGTGTTGTGTGGTGTTCAAACGTACGTACGTAATTTGTCGACATGGGTGTATCAATAGATTATTATCTGCCTGCGTGTTGTTGTCAGTGGCGTTGTTGCAGTGCGTGGTGTATTGTTTTGTTCCCCCTTTTCGTTGGCGGATTCTCGGTGTGCTACAGCAGTATGTATGGCCGTGCGTATAACGCTCAGTAGTGGCAAAAATGAAGAGTGCAACGTGCGTGGGTATCGTGGGGTCATTGTACAGAAGGGCCTCCAGTCGATTGAAGTAATCAAACATACATGGGAAACAAGCCGATGCGTATGGGCCACATTTCCTGTCCCGCCCCAGGAAGGCGCCATATATACAGATATCAACATGTTTTTTTTTTTTCCGAGAGTATCTTCGTTCTTCTCTACTCAAGCCCCGCCGATACAAAGCAAAAGAAAGGAGATGCGGGATGTCTCGAGTTCGTGGTTGCCGAAATATTAGGCAAAGGTTTATCATCCCCCCCCCCCCCCCCCCCCCCCCCCCCCCCCCCCCCCCCCCCCCCCCCCCCCCCCCCCCCCCCCCCCCCCCCCCCCCCCCCCCCCCCCCC